AATGGTTTTACTGCTACTTGTACTAATCCTATATATGTGTAAAAATTTATAATTGTTTTGTTTGTGTTTATGTATTGCTTCTTAAAAAAAGAGTTGAATTTCTTCAACCTTTTCTTCGGTTATCATTATTGTGTCTTCTGTTGTTTTAATAGAGTAATTTGACATAAATTCAAAATTACCTATTTGATATATTGTGTCTTTTCTAATTGGTGCTATGTTCCACTTATGTAAGTGTTGATCAATTTTTGCCATATTGATTTCTTGTGTGTTAATAGATTTCATTAGTTCTTGATTATTGTTTGTGTTTTGTTGTTGATTATTAATTCTAATAGCATTACTGCTACTACTATCATCTCATTTACTGCTACTTTCTAATCTCCTTAAGAAATTAAACATCTCTAAAATAATTCTAATCTAAAAGTTCTAGTTTTTCTCCTAGATTACGAGACCACCTCTGGGACCACATAACACGGCTGACCAATGGTTGCAGGCTGACCAAGCGCACCCTTCAGGTTGACCAAGCGCAACCTAGAATCAATTCTAGAGTTCTTCTAGATTAAAACCTTTTAGATATATCTAATCCTTAATTTAACTAAGAAATGAACAGTGCTACAGATGAATAGTAAACTGCTACAGATGTGAAATAGTAACTACGGTAGTGGTAGTTAGTTTTTGAGAATTTTGATTCCTAATTCCTCACTTCTAATAACACTTGGCTCTGATACCATATAAGGTAGGATCTTAAAAAAGTGAAGGATGTAATAAAAGTTATGTACTGAAAATGAATAGTAAATGTTATTGTAATAATAAATGTGAAAAGAAATGAAATAATGTAAAAAATGTGAACAGAAAAGAAATGAATAATAACTTACAAGTAGAAATTTGACGAAGAAACGTTTATTGCTTGATAAATTTTACAAAGTATTTGTCAAAGGACAAATTTTTGTTCTCTCACTTGTTGTTCTCTCATTTTTGCATTCTACTCTTGCATTCTAAGTGATACATATTTATACTACAAAGGAGCGGATTTCAAATACATTTGAATTTGTCTTAATTATTACAATACATAAAAAAATATAAAGTAGATGATAAATTGATGAGCTGTCTTGAATACGTGTCTTCAATTATTGAGAACTTCTCTTGATATTGGCCGACAAAATGATCTTATTGATAAGGAATCTTGAAAAATCTTGATATCCATTGAAAGTATTGAACTCGTGATAAAGCTAGTGCTGAGTCATTGTCCTTTCTTTTATTGAAATCATAATTGATCATGGAACATTGCATAATAGTCATCTTCTTCTTGATCATTTGGTGACTTAGTGTTGTCCGAATTTGGTTTTTAAGATGAGGAAGATCCAATGGCCATACTAATTTTGTCCATATCTTGAGTAGTTTGGCATTGAGCCAACTCAGCTAGAAGTTTTGATTTTTGTGTCAGAAATGTTGATTGTTGTTGAGGTTAACATAAATGAGGGTGTTGAGAAATCCATACTTGCACTACTGGTGGGCTAACATTTTGGATGGAAAAGCTAGGCCACAATTTAATAAAGATTTTTCTTCGTAATTCTCTGAATTTTGGAGGAGGTGCAGTGATATAAAATTGCCAATTCATTATCTAAGCAATTAAGAAATTGCTGGAAAATGCTAGCAAAGGTTCTTCATTGTCATTGAAATTTTTGGTGAATAATTGATATCCTTCCCAAATCAAAGGTGGGAGAATTTTTTTCATTTAAACCAAAAAAATGAAACCATTTTGGAAAAGTTTTTGGATAGGTTTTGTCAAATATGAAGAACCAAGAATGTGTTGTATGTGATAAACAGAAAGTATAAAACCAGGCTTTTTGATAATCTTTATAAGAAAATTCTTGAGGAATAAAAGTTTGAGAAAATGGGCTTTTTTTATAAATTCCAATACGCCAATCTTGTGGTCTCAAGACTTTTTGATTTTGCATTTTGGAAAAGCAATTTTGTTTGTTCCCAGAATTCGGGTTCAGTAATACAAATTAATTGGGTTGTTTCCTTTTCAAAGTATTGAAAAGGTGGATTATTGTTAATAGGTTTTGATGGAGAAGGTGAATAAGATGTTGGTATTGCAAGGGCTTGTTGGTAATTTTTTTGTGGTGATGAAGAAATAGATTCTTCATCTAGAAGAGTGAACCGATTTGGTTCGGTAATAGTGGTTATCTATTTATTGGGTTTTGAAGGTTTTGATTGTGGGGTAATAGGTTGTTGAGGTGGCAGCATTGCATACGATGCTTTTGATTTTGGATTATTTTGGGGTTTGATGGGAGTGCCCATCTTTCCCTTACTTTCTCTCAAAAATATCTCGTCCTGAAAGTTATTATGAGAGAGACTATTTGAGTAAAAAAATTTTGACTCTTGTATTTGATTGAAAACATGATTTTGAAAATTTTTAAATTTTAATGCAAAAAGTTTAAAACATGTTTTGTAATGCAAGCATCTAAAATTTTTCTAGTATCGAGCCAATCTCTTGATGGAACAATTTCATGACTCTCTAATTTAGTAATAGCATTTATCCTAGATATGGAAATATTTTTTAAATTACTAATGTCATTTACTAATGGAGGATTAACAAATTCAAATGTTACATCTTGTCCTAAAATATTTGTTGTAATTCCTTTATTGTTTACTGTGAAAGGGTAATTTGAGTAATAAAAGGGGTGCTTAATATAACATCTTGATCTAAATCTTTTGCTATAATGAAAGTATTTTTAATACAAAAATTTTGTATACATGCATGAACATTAGATAATTTACAATTAATGTTTAATTTTTGACCATTAGCTCCATGTAATTTTTCTTTTGTTTTTTCATAATATTTTATTGGAATTAATCATTCTCTCATACAATTTTGATCAGCTCCTGTGTCTACTAAGGCTTGTGTAATAATATCTAATTCATGATTAATATTAATCCTTATATAAACATGCCATTTTTGGAATTGAATTTTAGAGATTTCATTAATAAATGATTCCTCAGTTTCTTCAATAATTTTTAATTCTGATTTTGAGGTTGATGGTTGTCCTTTAGTTTCTTTAGAGGCTTTTAAGCATAATGAATCTGTCTTAATTTCAAAATTATCTTTTTGTAATTTTATGACTTGATTTTTCATAATATTAATTTCTTCTTGCAAGTCACTAAGAGTAATTTGTGTGGGTTTTTCAAATCTTTTTAATATATCTTTTAAATTATAAGAATCTACATCTTTTTGTTTTTCTTCAGATAAAATTAATTCTCTAAGTTTTAATAAATATTATATTTTAATATCTTCATCCTAAATTTTATCAGTAATATCTAATAAAAATTCTTTTGATTTAATGTTAACATTTATTAACTTAGGTCTAAAGGTTGATATCATATTTATTGATTTCATTGCACAGTAGCAAAGCCTCATGCAATTACAATCATCAGAATCTTGTGAAGACTCACTCATTATTTCAGAAGAATTTTTTTGGATTTGATAAATCATATCTAGATTATCTGTATCATAACTAGATTCTTCTTCAGAGTCTGTCTGAATAATTTTAATAATTGTTGTTTTAATTCTGAATCTATTTCTAATTTTTTAATTTGATTTTTCATAGGACACTTAGTTGCATAATGACCTTGTTGTTTACATTTCCAACAAGTGATAGGTTTTTTAGATATTTTCTTATTGGAAGATTTTTTCTTTTTATAAGGCTTATCATAAGACTTTTGTACATATTTATAATCTTTTTATAATAATGTTTTTTATATTGTTTTTGTTATTAATGTCTTTTATATTGAATAGAGGGAGGTAATATTTTTTTCATAACCATATTGACTACAAAATCCACTTAATTCCATTTTCTTATGTTTTAATTCGTTTTTTAATTCAACTTTTAATTTTAAACCAGTACAAATTATTAAAGCTTCATTGTTAATAAAACTAATTAAATCTCCAAAAGTTAAATCTTCATAAGGTATATTTCCATCAAATTTTTTGTATAATGCATTTGTAACAATTTGAGTGAATAATCTAGGTAGACCATCTAGGAACCTTTCTTTCCACTAGGGTTTCCTACAGTCTGTTCTTGTAAATACTTTTTGTAAGAACATATCCTTATACCATCTAAAATCTGCCATAGTTGAACATTTTAAGTTTGATAATATTTCTTATGATCTTTTCTGAAATCTTGTTGGGTCTCCTACAAAGCTTTTAGTTATTGCATAGATTAATGTAGAGACTGCGTCTTCTTCTTCTTGTTCATACTCCATTTGACTAGTACCTTCTGTTTTAACTTTTCTGATCTTATTTGTTGCATGTAATATTAATTTTTGATGAGCTTCTGTTAAATCACTATCCCACCAATTTTTTAGCATTCCTGTGAATCCTGAAACTAATATTTTTTCTATTTGGTGATCAGTGTTTTCGTGGACTTTATGGGCTAATGCTGACATTGTCATTTCTTGTAAAACATTTAATATTTAATGCTCAGCTAATCCATCTATATTCCATTCATCTATTCCTATTCCACTATAGGTAGATTTTGATATTTGTGTTACATCTTTGAATTGTATATTTGGTAAGGAAGGTTTTGGGTAATAATTTTGAGTTTTAGGATATTTCATAGGGGCGTTCAAAAGCGGTTAACCAAACCGGTTAACCCTTTTTTTGAACCGAACCAGATTTTTGGTTCGGGAAAATTCCCGAACCGAACCGGATTTTCGGTTCAAGAAAATTCCCAAACCGAAACCGAACCGGTTTTCCATTTTTTTTTTATAAAACTTTTTTTTTAATTTTATCCTAAATTAAATTGTAAATATAGACAATATATATCCAAATAAAAATTAAACATTCATACATATCCATTAACTACTACTAACAATAAATTAAAAATTGATACAAATAAAAGTCCATAATAAAACAACAAAATAAATAAATAAGTCCCAATGGAAAACAACAAAAGAAATTGGGCAAATACAACTCCACAAGTAGAAAGCGGAAACCAACATTAAGTCAATACGAGTAGATCTCCCAATATCTGCCCAAATAAAAATTAAATATTAGAAGTTTATAAAAATATTTATCCTCTAAATATTTATCCATCTCAAATTTGGTCACCGTAACTTCCTGTCTAGCCATTGCCTCATCGTACATACAATACATCAATTCTTTAGGATCAACATTTACATCTTCTACATTAACCTGACTTGCTTGTTGAGACTGTTGACTAGATTGCCCACTTGGAGAACTATAAATGAGCTTGTATTGGTTAAATAAAGAGTACAAAGTTGTATGCACTTTTGTCTTCAAAAGTTCAGCATTAGCATCATCATAGTATTTACTAATAACCCAATTCACATATCCTAACTTGAATCTAGGATCCAACACCACTGCAATGAATAACATTAAGTTGATATTGTCAATATTTGACCAATATTTATCATGTTTTCCTTTCATTCTCCTAGCCATAGTACTTAAGCCAACATCATCACTTCTACACCATGTTGAAATCTGCATTCCAATGGCAAAGATCTCGCGCATGTATGCATTGCCGGTAACAAAAAGTGAGCCCAACACATGTAGAGTAGCATCATAAAAAACTTTCAAAAAAGGTAACAAGTAACAGGCATACTCCCAATCACTAGGCATAGGCAAACCCCTTGACTTTTCCCCTCTAGTAAGTTCATCTTTATACTTACTGTCTTGGATTTCCAACAACTCAAATGCTTTCTGAAATTTTAAAGCCACATCCAACATTAAGTACGTAGAGTTCCACCTTGTTTCTACATCAAGAACCAAAAGATTTTTTTGTTCAATCTTTTCTAGCTCTACACACTCCTTAAACCTTTGTAATCTCGCTGGAGAAGACCTCACATATCTCACTGTAGAGTGAATTCTAAAAATGGAGTCCTCCATGTCTTTTAACCCCTCTTTTACAGTGAGACTCAATATATGTGCACAACACCTCATATGCAAAAAATCACCATCAAAACACTACCCTTCCAACTTTCTACCCGATTTTGGAGATATTTTATTCCAACATCATTAGAACTTGCATTGTCAACGGTAATGGTGAAAACCTTAGAAATACCCCAATCAAGCAAACACCTCTCAATTGCCTTACCAATTAATAAACCGTTGTGACTAGCAATTGGACAAAAGTTTAAGATCTTTTTGTGTAATTTCCAATCATCATCAATGAAGTGAGTAGTCAAACACATATAGTTAAGGTTTTCGCAAGATGTCCATGTATCCGTGGTAAGACTTACTCTCTTACTAAACTTACTAAAAAAGGCTTTCAGCTTATTTCTTCCTCAACATAAATATTAAAACAATCTCTAGCCATAGTAATACGAGAGGGAACTTGAAATAGAGGTTATGCATCTTTCATCATATTGCAAAACCCCTCACGCTTTACATGCCTAAAGGGCATCTCATCAACAATGATCATTCTAGCTAGAGGCCGTCTAAGCCTATCTGGATTGAATTTCCAAGTTGTAAGTGAAGATTGTGTGGAGGTGGTAGCAGTACCACTTGATTGGTCATTTGATTGTGTCTGTTGAAAAACTAAGATCCTTTGTTTCTTATCCATCACCTTCAAATGGTACTTTTTACATTGACTTAAGTGATTTCGTAAACAACTAGTACCACTTTTACTTGGACATGCAAGCACATTCCCACAATAATCACATGTTGTTGTCCTGTCATCCACATTCTCACAAGGATTTATAGTAAAATGATCCCACATGTCAGAAGTATTCTTTTGAGTATTAGAACTTACACGTTTTGGGACTCGTGGTGTTTGTGGTCGTGGATCAGGGTCCGTAGAAGGATGTGGGGCTACCAATGAGTTTGGAGTTGGATTCCTACTAGTTGGTGTCTCAGGACTCTCATCAGTATTAGAATGGTCAGTAGCCATGGGGTTGGATTTGGACATCTGCAACATCAACACGAAGATCTTAATGTAAGTGAAAGGACCTTCCTAGCAGTCTATACAACTAAAAAAAGAACCAAATTTTAGAACAAGCAACATTAAGATGCATTACACATGCATTTTGGCTAAAGAAGAATTTCAACTGAGCTAGACATACCAAAGAGCTGTCTAAGCAGCAGGATAAACAAATATGAGCTCACTTAAATACAATAGCTCACTTAAACTCAACAGTCAGCTTAAAAAAAATGATATAGCCTTTAAATTCTAAAAAACATAGCTTTCATTCAGCACATATTAATCATAATGAATTGTAAAGTATATTTAACCATAAAATAATTTGAGAAGTAAACATAACATAATTATATTTGGGTGTTGCTTTTAGAAAATTTAAAAATTTATACCAAATACTAAACACTAAAGCAAAATGATCACAGCATGAGCTCGCAACTTAGGTGCCATTTCGTACTGTATTTCAGTGTGTTAAGCTTTAGATTCAAAGCAGTAGCAAAATGTATCTGATATATATTTCCATGAGACTGAATTGAAAAACAGAGGAAGCATTCTTCAATTTTACAATGAAAATCTCAAAAATGTATTTAGATAATTTAACAATTTATAAAAATATGAATTCTAAATTATATCCATACTTCAAAATAAATCTCAGCTGAAACTCAAAAAGTTTGAAATAACCTCATGCTCTTCACTCATTCTTCCCTCTTACCTCTTCTAGTCACTGCCCCATGCAATGAATTTCCCACTCTGTAATGAATCCAAATAACATCCTCCAGTTGGCTTCATGTTTTTGGATAGCACACAAAAGTTTTGGGTTTTAACTTGGGATAAAAATGAATGTGTTTTTGAGTAAATATGAAGTTGTGACATATAATCTGCCATCTAGGACCATGACTAACAATTTTAATAAGTAAATCTAAGTATAATCTGCCACACTAAAAATGTTTTTATGCTTCTAACTTTTGTTTTTCCGTTTGTGTCCAAAAAAAATAATGAATAATTGTTAAGCACGTGGACAACTTAAAGAGAGACGAAGAGATCAAAAGTCAAAACAAGAGCATGTTAAGAGGTAGAAAGTTACGTGGGTGGAAACTGGGAAGTTCTTACCTTGAAATTGGGGCTAAAATTGATGCCTTTAAACTCTGTTATGTATTGTTGCTGCGCCTTCGTTTCTTGAGAATGGATGAGTAGAAAAGCTGATTTATAAACTGGGAAGTAACGTGGGTGCCTGTTGGAGCTNTCAATCTTCCCAGGTATATATACCTTAACCATTTTATCAAACTTGGACATATTCTTTTATTTAACACACAACAGAATTATTGAATTACATTTGTGTTCAAATAATGTAGGAGTTGCTTTGGGTGATAGTTGGATTTCTCCTGAAGATTTTTGTGCATGTGGTTCCTCTGATTGAAAATTTCTGTGTGCCAAATATTTCTCCATCTAAAAATGACTTGATTTTCATATTAAAATTGCTTACAACTAAAGATTAATTAATGCAGTTTTCATGGGCACCACTTCTCAAAGAGTTGTCACGAATGGACAACAAAGGCTTGAATGAATCGAATAGGTTTATATTAAGAATTTAATTGTCTCTGATTAATGTTTTGAAAAAGGCAAAATCAAATTAAGTTAGCATAATCCATTTTGCAAGAACAGTTTAGCTCTAAAGATTAAGCAACAACTAGCAGCAGGTAAATATGAAGATGCGGCAATAACATACTCATGTATTACTTGTTCAAATAATGTAGGAGTTCTGGTGGCAGACATAAAACAAAATTTCACAAATGATATGACTTATCTCTCACTCTTTTCTCTTTAAGATAAGGTGCCAATATTATTTAATAAATGATAAAAGGAAAGTTCTTACCTTGAAATTGTTGCTGTGCCTTTGTTTCTTAAGCATGGATGAGTAGAAAAGGTTTTTTAATAAACTGTGAAGTAAGGTGGGTGCTTGCTGGAAGAAGGAGCTGGAAGAAGGAGAAGGATGATGCAACTTTGCTAGAGCTGGAAGAAGGAGAAGGATGACGCAGCTTTGCTAGATCTGGAAGAAAAATGAAGAAAATCTGGTATTTGTGAACTGAGAAAGGCCTCGGGTGCTTACTGGAGCTGGAAGAAGGAGAACGACGCCGCAACTTTGCTGGATCTGGAAGAAAAATGAAGATAATCGGGAATTTGTGAACTGAGAAGGGAGAGGCAGAGAGCTGCGAAAAAATTGGTGGGTTGCGATTTTAGATTTGAGTGAAAGTGAATGTGAATTAGGGATAGGTTTTTATTTATTTATTTAATATATATATATATATATAATTTGAAAACCGGTTCATAAACTGGTTAACCGTTTTTAGTTTTTCCTGAACGGGTAACCGAACCGAAAATTCGGTTTTTTTAATTTTCCGAACCGTAACCGAACCGTTTTTTGGTTAACCGGTTTTTCGGTTCGATTCGGTTTTTGCATTTTTTTGAACACTCTTAGGTTTCTTAACTCAATTTCAAAGGGGGCTGTTTGGTGGTTTGGATAGGGGGACAAGGAGGCTGTTTGGTGGTTTGGCTTAAGTTTGCTGGGTTTGGGGAGGATGAGGGTAATAAGGACATTTAACCTATACCTGTTAAAATTAACGAAATATTATTAATGGAACAGGTGCCTAAGTTAATACTGATACCAATAGAGGTTTGAAATGTTACTAACCGCAAAGGGCCCTAAGTTAATAATGATATCATTGAGGGAGTGTTTGGATCATATAATATTTTATTATAGAGGAATATTATATTATTAGAAAGATAACTCATCTTGAAGATTACTAGGAATGTTTAAGAGTGCGTTTGTTTTAGTATTTTGGATAGGATTTTTTATATTTTTAGAGTTTGGTGGAAATAACGAGATAGGATTTGAAAATTAACAAAAACACCCTCTTAGGTTTGTTAAATAACTAAACACCCTTGTAATAAAAATATTAAAAATTTAAAAAACACCCCACTCACCCATTAAATTCCAACAGCCGGCCACCACTGACTAGGGGTGTTCAAAAGAACCGATTGGAACCGAAATCAGTGGCTACCCGGGGTTTGATTCCTGTTCCTACCCGGAACCGGTTGTCAACGGGTAGGTTTCGGTTCCAAATTTTTGGAACCGCTACTATGCGGTTCCGGTTTCGATTCCTATAGTTAGGAACCGAAACCGGGAACTGAGACTAATATAAAATAAAATTAAAGAGTAGAGGGATTAATAAAAACTTTTGTAGAAAAAGTAACGTAAATATATTTATATTTATATTTCATAACATTTAAAGTAAGTTGGTTTGACTTTTGAGAATCTACCTTTACAAAGTAACGAAGTTTGTAATTTTGAATTTATAATTTGTAATTTTATTTTTGTTAACAAATGTCAGGTGGGGGTTATTTGTAAGTTTTTAAGGGTTTTTTTGCCTTTTAAAAACTTTGGGGGTAATTATAATTTTACTGGGTACCCAGAATCGGAACTGGAACCGTAAGTTTCGGTTCTAGGTACCTAGGAATCAAAACTGTCGGTTTTGGTTCCGGTTCCAAATTTTAAGGAACAGTCAGTTCTGGTTCCTTCAAAAAATGTAGGGTACCTAGAACCGAACACCCTACCACCGACAGAGGTGGCCGGAGTCACCGTATCAATGCACAACTGGCTGGATCTGGCCGGTCGTGCGGCGAGATGGCCTTTTCCAATCAGATCCACTGTGAATCTGGTAGGAAAACACCAGATCTGGCCATGTTTGGTCGTCAACGATGGCCATAGATATGGTCGTCGGCCGTCGTTGACGACCAGCTACGGCTAAAGATCTGCACATCAACGGCCAGATCTTTGGCCGTGGATCTAGCATCCAACAAGTAGTGCACCATTATACTAGATTTCGGCCACCTTCCGACGATGTGGCTAGAATCTGGCAAATGTGGGTGGGTGGGGGTATTTTTGTCAATTTCTAAACTTTTTTCTAGGGGTGTT